CCAGTCTGGGTTCCTTTTAAAAGAGTGCCACAGTATGCTAAAAATTTGTCTGTACATGCGCTTTTACAGCTGATGTGGTAGGATGACTGGGATCCACCTGAAAAACAGCCCCTAAACAGTTTGCTCACCAATACCGTCTTGAAGAATGTTTCCTTTAAAGTGCATTTCCACTTTTGCAGCCAAATTGGCATAATACCTGTTTTACATTTGTTACATGTTCCTATTCACATAGCATAAGCAAAAAAAATGCTTATTGCAGTTAAAATTGCTTTTACTTGGGTTAGGCTTTCTTGGCTACGTAAGGGTTAAAATTGCTACTTGCTTCTCCTTTGTAGTGTTAGGAGGTAGCTGACGCTTGTCGCTCGAACATGAACGATTTTTCATTGAATTTTGAGCGATTTGGCCCCAATAGACATTGATAGACTGCCAAAAGAAACTCTACGTAGCGTGACAAAATGTGCATTGTAGCTTAATGTTGCTCAAGTCGATCAGCTCAAATCAGCGCTGGTAAAGCTTGTAGCTCAGTGTAAGTGGGGTCTAAAATCTATGCATTAAAAAAAAAAAACCTGGGCTACCATTGTCAACTTCCTTCTGGCAATGCTAGCTCTTGGCTATTATAACCCACTGGCTTTAAAAGATTGAGTTACTGACCCCTAACAAGTGAGCAGATCAGGGAAGATAAAAAAACATTAGCCATATAATTGTTTAGTGGCTCATGGTATTGGGAAACAAATAGTTTTACAAGACTGCCAGTTTGGAGAATAAGGAAAGGTGCAGTTAAGAAGGGTTTATTTTTAGAGAGCTTTGCTGTTGGTTTCTTTAATTCGTTATCCTCAGTGTAGTATTCAAATATTTCAGCTAAAGCAGAGGTTGGCAAGGAACTGGAATTCTCCATTAGAAGCCTCCTATTTTAGTTTCATGTGGATCACATTATTTTATTATAAACCCCGCTATATACATTCTCCTGAAAACATCTGTTTTCATCATCATCCTTGTGTGCCTTCCTATCTTCTACAAGTTCTAAGTGAGGTTTGTTGTGTAAGCTGTTTTTGTAAGACCTCCCTTAGAGCTGAATTTTGTCCCACAAAAATCAGATGTTGCGAAGTTCAAAGTAAAACTTTTATCTACTGTATGTTCTGTTTTGCTTTCCATTTACTGTGGCTGCATTGGGAACACCTCCTGTTAAGGGCAGTCATGCCATGTGTATCACCATACTATCACATTCTGAAAAAATGTGCCTTTTCCATAGAGATCAGTGAAAGACATTCTCTGGAGAATTCCATTTACTGTCTTGGAAAATTTACTAAAATTATAGATCAGCTTCAATTTTTTAAAAGGCATTCATGTAAAATGTGCCCTGTGTTGGCAACACATGTAGTGGTTTTCGGGCAATTCAAATCATTTACAACAAGCTTTTGATCACTAATACGATTGAAAGTGATTTAAGAGAACAAAGGTAGCCTACCATTAAATAATTTGACCAGCAAACTTCAGTCACTTACATGGATTGAAATACATGTATTACATTGAAATGACAACTGTGATCAAATAGAAAAGAGGAACACCATCAAGTAATCTGATTGGAAGCAATCAGATTGATGCATTTTCTACACTCGGTCAAATAGCAATCAATGGAAAATCGTGAATTTATTCATCTGATTGCTTTTTCAATTTTGATGGAAAAGTGAATTAAAATGAATATGGAACGATAGATTTTACACATGGATGATGAGCTTTTTTCAGTGACCATAGAATCAAGCAAAAGTAGGCATGGAATCTACCACTCAGTTTAATGATACCCTAAAATGATCTAAACTGTTGGTGGAAGGTTGCTTGGACCTGCTTGTCAGATATTTGTGATTAAAAGTTGGCACACCCTGGAAAAAACTCAATGACTCTCGGAAGTCATTTAATAAGGCACTTGTTTAATTTCAAAGAATTTTGATTTGGTTATTCTGATTATGTTTCCTATTTTATTTTTCTGAAGTTTAAAGAAAGGCCATAGTCATCTGTTCAGGTATCCTCTGAACCTTCGACATATAGACTCCAGCAGAATTAGATTTAATTTACTATTTACGTTTTAAAAATGGATGCCGTCTTTGTTGCAATGCATGTAAATGTTTCTTTCAGCGTGTGTATGTTTGTGTGTGGAACTTTTTTTTGAGCTCCTACAGTAAAAAAAAATAAAAAAATTGTCCATCTTTGAACCAGATGTCATTCTCCATACATTTTGGAGTTCAAGACCTTCTCTGTGGTTATGTAGTCTGGCTTACTTGCAGCAGTAGTGAAAAAGAAGAAAGGCTGGACATATGAGAGAAGCCATGATCAACAGGCTAAAAAACCAAATCTTCTTTGGAATCGAGACTTGCTGATGTAGACTGTATTTCACACAGCTACTCAGGGTTATACTTTATCAGATGAGTGAGATTTCACTCCTGAAGCAGGAACTGTCAATTTAATTTAGGATATGCTTATGCATAAGTTTTAGTATTTATTTCTTTATAGATTTTTTCCTTCCTAGCATTCCCTTTGGTTCTGTTTTGTGGTTTTAATTTTTGGGTTGTCATCAGCAGAACAGCTGTTCTCTGCTCCAGTAAGTGGGATTTTGCGTTTGTGTCTTTCAGAATGTGGTCCACCCACTCCTAATGCAAACCAACTGGTGTGATTAAACATGGTCTTTTTTTTTTTTTTCTGTCGGCTTTAGCACACTGTGGCTGCTTAGTGCTTATAATTCTGTAAAAGGCTGAGCTTGGTGTCCCTTCCGGTGACTCATTGGAACTGTGATGTGGCAAAAACAAAGTTTTGTTTGAGGGATGGGGCGGGAGCATTTATGGCTGCACTCTTTGGCTAAGCTTGGATTTTTTTTAATACAAATAAGAATCTTTGCCATTTTTACATGTAAATTAACATGACTAGTTCCTCTTAGACCAGTTTGAGATATGCATGTTGTACGTTTTAAAACTTTTGTTTTCTGTTTAGAATGAGTTTCGGTGGCAGAGGCATAGTCTGAAGCACTATGGCTTGACCACTGCCCCAGTCACCTCAGTACCCCTATTTTGAAAAAGCAGCTTCACATCTAGATCACTTGTATGAGATGAAGTTAAATCAACTGTTTTGTCAAATGCACGTATGAACTTTGAAGCCGACCACTAGGCGGTTTTAAAAAGAAATTTAATTTAGTTATATGTTCTATAAAAACATTTTTTAGGTATGACTATCACCCGAGTTTGTTTTTATCAGCCTCCTAAAACTCCCGGCATATCGTTACTCAGACAGGAAGAGGGAGGGTCAGCATTCTGTTTGGATAATTGTGTCACTCTGACACTGTGGAAATTCGAACAGAAGGTCAAAGGCTGGTGTCAGTGATGGACCAAGTCGTATTGGGAGGTCTATGCTGTCTTGACAGCCTGTGGCTGGGTCACCAGAATAGCTGAACAGAACTATAAAAAGTCTGGCAGGTAGAAGAGTTGCCATATACACTATATTGCCAAAAGTATAGGGATGCCTGCCTTTACACGCACGTGAACTTTAATGGCATCCCAGTCTTCCGTCTGTAGGGTTCAATATTGAGTTGGCCCACCCTTTGCCGCTATAACAGCTTCAACTCTTCTGGAAAGGCTGTCCACAAGGTTTAGGAGTGTCTCTATGGGAATGGGTTTTTTCCAGAAGCACATTTGCGAGGTCAGGTACTGATGTTGGACAAGAAGGCCTGGCTAGCAGTCTCCGCTCTAATTCATTCCCACGGTGTTCTATCGGGTCGAGTTCAGGACTCTGTGCAGGCCAGTCAAGTTCTTCCACCCCAAACTCGCTCATTCATGTCTTTTATGGACTTGCTTTGTGCACTGGTGTTGGAACAGGAAGGGGCCATCCCCAAACTGTTCACACAAAGTTGGGAGCATGACATTGTCCAAAATGTCTTGGTATGCTGATGCCTTAAGAGTTCCCTTTACTGGAACTAAGGGGCCAAGCCCAACCCTTGAAAAACAACCCCAAACAATAATCCCCCCTCCACCAAACTTTACACTTGGCACAATGCAGTCAGGCAAGTACCGTTCTCCTGGCAACTGCCAAACCCAGACACATCCATCAGATTGCCAGACAGAGAAGCGTGATTCGTCACTCCAGAGAACACGTCTCCACTTCTCGAGTCCAGTGGCGGCGTGCTTTACACCGCTGTATCCGACGCATTGCACTTGGTGATGTAAGGCTTGGATGCAGCTGCTCGGCCATGGAAACCCATTCCCTGAACTCCCTACCCACTGTTATTGTGCCAATCTTGGTTTGTAGCTATTGACTCTGCAGACAGTTGGCGACTTCTGCGCACTGTGTGCTTCACCATGCGCTGACCCCGCTCTGTCATTTTATGTGGCCTACCACTTCGTGGCTTAGTTGCTGTTGTTCCCAGGTGCTTCCACTTTGTTATAATACAACTAACAGTTGATTGCAGAATATTTAGTAGCAAGGACATTTCACGGATGGACTTATTGCACAGGTGGCAACCTATCACAGTACCACACTTGATTTCACTGAGCTCCTGAGAGGGACCCATTCTTTCACAAATGTTTGTAGAAGCAGTCTGCATGACTGGGTGCTTGATTTTATACACCTGAGGCCATGGAGGTGATTGGAACAACTGAATCCAATGATTTGGAGGGGTGTCCCAATACTTTTGGCAATATAGTGTATATTTCAACTAGTTTCCATGGAATTCAGATTTTTATTAGATATTGTAGGAAAGGATTATAACCCCTCGTAGGTTCTAATGCAGGTCATTTTATATAATTTATATCAATGCTGGATGGTTTCAATTGGTCTTTTTTTTTTTTTTTTTTTTTTTTTTTTTTTTATTTTTATTTTTAAATTGGGGGGGGGGGGGACTTAATTTTTTTTTTCCTTTTTTTTTTTTCCCACTAAACTTTATTGCTATCACATACGGGGGCTAATAAAACCCCCTTATGTGATAGCAAAATATGTGACAGGTCCTCTTTATGGAGACAAAGATGCAATTATTGGACAAGTTTCCAGTGGAAGGAGGTCAAAAAGATCCAAAGCAGAGAATCATTCCATTTTTACCGGGTATGCGTTTCTCATATGTTTTTCCTCTGATATTGTATGATTATGTTTTGAGACGCATCACAATGGTACCTGACGTTTATGGTTACTGCAGTATAAGAGAGAAACCAAAGCTTTTATTCATTAGTACATCTACCAAGGCAGAGCCAAATGCATTGGTTAGGCATGCTGCCTGTATCAACCAATCAAGTGTTTGCTTAGAGTTTTTCTGAATTAGTTAAAAGAATGTACTTGGCGCCATGGGTAACTTCTCTGGTCCCTCCTGCCTTAAAGGGTAAGTTCACTTTCCCAAGTAATTTGCTAAGAAGCACTTCCCATTGGTCACTGACTGAGTGCTCCAAATTTGCAAGTGGAATTCAAAAATCCATAGAGCAGGGCTGCACTGGCGGCAGTGCAGGGCAGAAGGGAAGCACCGTTCGCCGAAAGGTAAGTAGAGGGGCCCAGATTTGAGCAGGTAATTCCATTTTCCCAAAATATACCTATGTTTTCACTGTGGTTACAGCAGTAGAGAAAGGGGGTCCTGGAAATAATATTAACAACAAACAGGATGATGTATTCTGGAAATACATTTCCAAACTGCTGTATGTTAAGCTGTGAAAATTGAGCTGGCAACAGATAGATGATACTAAATCCAAATTTTACAGAAAATAGTGATTTATTTTTAATTGTGTTTTTTTTTTTTTTTTTTTAATAAATTGTGTCTTCCTAGAATAAGACCTACTTTAAAAAATTAAATTGTAAAATAACATCTAAGCTAATTAATACATTTTAAAATATCCTTTAAGCAAATTAAGTGTAACAATCATTTTAATAAAGGTCATTTTTCATTTCAATACCACTGCTTCGTAAAAGCAGAGACTGAATTGAATGAAGATGAACCAGATGCGTTATATCTCTGTTTCCGGATATTAAAGCCTGCTTGCTAACGTGCCTGTTTCTAATAAAATACATATTATGGACAGGAATAGCCTGGTGGGCAAAATGAAATATAATGTTATGATTTATAATGATGTATCTTGAATTAGTAGTTGTTGTTATGACTGTGCATGGAGAGAATTTTAAGTCAACTGCCCAGCATAAATTTTATCATTGTCCGAAAGATATGTGATTTATTGATTGAGTGGGTCATAATGTAATGTCTCCAGCATTTTTTATTACATCGGTTTTATTTAAAGGGACACTAAACCAGAGTTAAAGTGCACCTTTACCCATATCTTTAAAATCGCAACAAACACACCGTTTAAAAATGTTTAGTATTGCCAATCTACAAACACATACTTCTAGATATTGCAGGCTTTGTACTCTTTGCATACCTTATTTCTCTTTTCTTCCCCACTCTTCGGACAGTGGCCATGTTAACTAAGGGCAGATTACTAGCTTTCCTTTTACTTCTTGAAAATTGGCACATGTGACATAATCTCAGGGGAGGAAAACACCTTTCACTGAGATGAGATTTACCAGCAATGCTCTGCTGATGACTAGGCAATTCCAGTGTGCAATGCCTTGGCAAACTGAAGTCATTTTTCCCTTTCAAAGCAGGAAGTGAATGCTCTGCAAGTGTAAGTATTTCAAAATCACAGCATTTAACACCTGACATGTCTATGTTATTATTAATCATTATATAGAGGAAGGCATTGGTAGAATTAAATTGTTGAGTGTACATGTCCGTTTTAAATCTTAAAAATGCTTTTAGGTACCTATGAATGAAAATGTATCTTATTTACAAATGTTCTTCCTTCTGGAGGGTGGCTACTTTGGTTCATCATGGTTCCTGTGTGTTGTAAAGTAGCCACCACTCCAAGCTCACTCTCCTGATGGACTACAATCTCAGGTTTAGTTTACTAATTTGTATTAAGATTATAGTCTATCACCGGAGCAAGCTTGGACTGGTGGCTACTTTACAACACACAGGGATTATGTAATGGGGAGCAAAAGTAGCCACCCTCCACAAGAAAGGACAGTGTCGGCACAAATTCAGAGATGATTTGAGGATCTACAGGTGAGTGATACACAAATAAAATAAATGTTGTACATAGGTAAGGTACTTAAATGCATTTTTAAAATGTAACTCATGAGTTTAGTGTCACTTTAAGTACCACTGTTTGTGCAATTCAGTGATTTCCTGTTACATCTACAGTGGAGTCAACTGTAAACCTCACCCAAATTTGTAAGTCCCTTCACATCTTTTAGATCACTGATCACACATTTGGAGAAAAAAAAACCCAGCCCAGATTTTTTTCTCAAGCGATGACCGTTTTGAGGTTTTAAAACTTGAACATGAATGGGAAGTTTATTTCTTTTGGCTGAGCACCCAAGAGGAGTTAAAATGTTCGATCATAGCTTAGCCTTAGTTGCACAGAAGATGGCATGCAGCACTATTGCAATACAGAGCTATATTCCTTCCAGCTGAAAACTAGTAAAGCAGCCTGTGGAAAATACAAGTGCGTACATGCAGAATAAGGGCTAAGAGGTGTCTTTTTCAAAGGACAACAGCCGGCAGTGCCAAGACCCATTTCACAGGCTTCCTTGCAGCAGAAAAAGACTAGCGAATACAAGGGCCAAACAAATGTATTAGTGTATTTATAGCCAAACATTGAGTTGGAAAGGCTCCATTCACATGGGCATCTGGGGGCAGTTCCGCCACAGTTTGCATGTAACCACTCAGATTAGTGATTACATGTGAATAAAGTCTCTGACCAAACCTGGACGCAGACATTTTGTGTCTATGGTTGGTGTTTCTGCAGAGTTTTTGGATGCACATGCAGCCATAGCACAGAATACAGCTGCATCCAGAGGTGGCATTTAGCCACATTGGTCTGATGTGATGCCGTTCATTTTGATGCACCTTACTGCTGGTTATGTGCAAGGAGCACCAACACACTAAGGTTCATTGTGATGCTTTTCTGCCAAAAATGCTGCATGCACAATTTTTAGTCTGTTGGGCAGCCTGTTCAATTGCATGGGCTTCCCTAACGTAAAGCACGCTAACGGACGTGCATTTAAAGCAGCAGTCTAGGCTAGTGTGAATAGGCTTTTAGAGAAAGGGCTCTTTTAAAACATTTTCTAAAGTATTAAGCTAAACAATTATATCTAGAAATAGGAACAGCTGGGATCTTTTTCTTTTTAAATTCTTAAAGTATATCTAAAGCAAAAACTATATTCACCGTTCATCCATAACATTATGACCACTGAGAGGTGAAGTGAATAACATTGATTTTCTTGTTACAATGGCACCTGTAAGTGGGTTGGAAGCTGCAAGTTGGGCTGCAAGTAAACATTTTGTCCCTGAAGTTGATGTGTTGGAAACAGAAAAAGTGGGCAAGCGTAAGGATTTAAGTGACTTTGAGAAGAGCCCAGTTGTGATGGCTAGGTGACTGGGCCAGAGCAACTTCAAAATTGCAGCTCATGTGGGCTCTTATCGGTCTGTGGCCAGGACCTACCAGAAGTGGCCCAAGGAAGGAAAACCGGTGACCAGGTCATGGGCGGCCAAGGCTCATTGATGCACATGGGGAGAGAAGGCTGGCCCATATAGTCCAATCCAGTAGAAGAGCTCCTGTAGCTGAGATTGCAGAAAAGGGTAATGCTGGTTCCTATAGAAAGGTGTCTGAACACACAGTGCATGCTGACCCATGTTCACCGCCAAAAAATGCCTACAGTGGGCATGTGAGCATAAGAACTGGACCATGGAAATGGAAGGTGGCCTGGTCTGATTAACTTTTCTTTTAGAGTTTATTGATGACTGGATTTGTGTGTGTAGCTTTCCTGGGGAAGAGAGTGCACCCTGGTGCCATATCGGAAGAAGGCAAGCTGGCGGAGGCAGTATGATGCTTTGGGCTAACGTTGAATCCTGCCATTCATATGGTTATTACTAGGACTGCAACGAATAATTATTTTCATAATTATTCGTTGGCCGATTTATTTTTTCTAATAAAAAAATGTAAACATCATCCTTAATTTAATTTAAAATACACAAATGCAGTGTTACAAACGTAAAGTTTACTTCAGAATAAAACTGCATGCACAATATGCAGTTTTGTTAATATACCTTTTATTAACAGTTTAGCTTTTCATGCTTGTTCCATTATTAGTTGAGAAACATGAAGGTGATAGAGACATTGAACAAACCATGTGATTTTGTACTCTCATTTTGTAAGACACCCTTAAGGGCCTGTTTGACGCTGCTGGGGTGGGCACCATGCAATTAACACATGCTATCGCGCAACACACCTACCATGTGTTAGTGTGGCCTGTGTGTTGCCATTCATTTGAATGGGCCCTTAATGTTTCTTTGCAGGCACCCTGTAATTTTATTTTACTGTAAACACACTACATGTACATTTTTGCCCTGTGGGAGTGCCATTTTGGACAGTGAACGCAACCTCCTGTGTTAGTATATCTGCTTCATATACATAAAGCCATTACCGCATTTAAATTAGCAGCAGTAATGAATATACTTATGTCAGTCTTCAGCATGCCTTGAGCAAGTTCAGCACAAACTATTGTGACTGTTCTACATCTGTAGAAAACTCCTGGAAGTATTTAAGCACTACAAGGCCTTGTCAGCAGTTTTAAGTTCTGCAAAATAAAGGCTCCGGAAATAAAGCAGTGAACTGTTTTTGTGCCAGATTTGAAAATTTTTTGGTTTGGAATTGCATCTTGGTCCAGATTCATTGTGTATACACACACACACACACACACACACTGTGTGTGTAATTATGCAAACATGGTTTGGATTGATTCACTGATCTGTAATGTCTTGGAAGATTTTCATTATTTAAAGTTGCAGTATGTCCTGTAGTGATTTCCAACTACATTGACTGTTGGTTATGGCTTCAATACCTGGAACTTCTTTTTCACTGCACCACATGGCATTGCAACAGAATGATCTACCCTTCTGACAAGTCAGAAGAAGAGTTTAAACTGCTCACCTCTTCCTCTCATTTACTGTTGCTTTCCTGTCCCTAACATTTTGGGCATTTGGGTAGGATCAGGAAAAAACTGCT